CCTGACGTATACCACTCCATCCTCTCAATACCGTTCTGTCCCCCTGACCAGAACCTAAATTTAGTTTAAATGCTCTTTGAGCCAATAGAATTATTTCAGTCTATAAGGAGCTTTAACATCTCTTTGAACGCCTTGCCTACCAAGCTTTCGTTGCAGACTTTTTCTTTATATTATTTCTTAACTGACAACACGAGCTTTGGAGTTGAAGTTTAGAACGATTTCATGCCCCTTGTACTCTTCATCTATTGCTGCTGGGTTGTCGTAAGCGTACAGACCATCTACAGCCATGGCTTCTGTCTGGACTGAACAATCTACTGTGTGAACTAAAGTAAAGGAAAGTGAAGGTAAAAGGTAAAGTATGCATACGAGTCAAGTGGCTCATCAGGCCGGAGCTTATCCCGGTTTCCGTAGCATAGTGCGACTAGGAGTATTTCTTTTCCTCCCCTGGATGGGATGCTAGTCCATCGCAGGGTTACCCCCAGTATTAAATTCTCCGGTACTCATTTGTACACCTGGGTGGAGAGAGGCACTGTGAGAGTAAAGTGTCTTGCCCAGAAACATAACACAATGTTCCAGGCCAGGGTTCGAACCCGGACCGCTCCACCCGGAGACGAGCGCACTGACCATGAGGCCACCGCGCCTCCACGAAATTAGTTTTAACTGGAATTTAACTCGCGTAGTTTTCAATGCCTCTTGTACATTCTGTATGGAAATGGCCAAAGCTCGGACAAAACGCAGTACTGCGCGTTGCAATCTGTACCCGCGGAAGTAGAACTAGCAGCCTAGGAAAGAGTTATAGGGCGTGTCCTCGAGAGGTTAATACACAGCCCTGTCGTCGTAACCACTGCAAACCTTATGACGTTGGATTTTTAACACATCATGTGATTCCCTGTGACATGGCTATTGTTGACAAGGTGTGCAAATGTCTCCTAAACTGAGTCAAATAAAATGGAGTGAGGACACCTGTTTAACTGCCTTCTTAGCTCAGTCGACTTACCTACTTTCCTGCACCTGACAGTCGCTGGAAGGAAGGCAATCACAGCCAAGAAACCCAGTAATGAGCCAGCGCCTGGCCCCACGGAGAACACGTAACGGACGTATTCACCACAGTCTCTGTGGAAAAGGGACAGACAAGGATTAACACGAAGTGTTTCTTGACGAACATTTCCATCTAAAGTGTGTACTTGAAATTTGTTGAGGTCTCCTCCAACACCTTTGAAGCAAGAACGCTCTTTCAGAGTGCATAGTAACCTTTCCAAGCTGTACACTTTCCTTGGTTGAGTACTCGCTCATTTTAGTGACCCCTTTAGAAGTTGGAGCTCTTTCTCTAATTAAGATGGACGCCTGTCTAGTTAGGAGCGACCATTTGTGGTATGACATGTTTAGTCCTGATCAGCTCACGATAAAGATTGCACGTGAACTAAATTACTGATTTTATGAAAAACAGCGGGATTCTATCACTTGGAATGTCAATACGTATTAAAGGACGGTGCAAATTAAGTCAGTTGTACGAAAAAAAAAAACAAATACGAATAGGATCTGCTTAATTTTGACCTAAATCAATAAGCTTCAACAAGGACTGATCTCTGTGCAAAGCTCTTTGATGGCTTAACATACCTCGAGCTAAAGTAAAGATGTGTTGACCCCAACTGTGCTTGTCAATGACTTACCCGCTAGAAGGAAAGAATTCTTGAGTAATAAAAATTGCGATTCCGCATGCCACCTTGGCCAGCACTGCCATGGACGCAAACACGAACGCGCCAGACTCTTTATTTTCACCAATCAGCTTCCCAGCTAAAGCCAGTGACGTCACGTACATCACAGAGCCTCCGCATCCCACAAGAATTGCGGCGCAATAGACAGCGTTTTTTCCAGATTCGGTTTGCAAGTAGAACCAGGCCGAGGAACCAGCCGCTAAAACTGCGGCTAAAGAGTACGTCCACTGTAATGACAAAACAATAAAGCCATTTAGTAGCGAAGCGCTGAGAAGAACGACAAAAAACCTGTAAACAGACAAAAGGCGTCCAGTATGCCTGGAAATTTAAAGCGTGATGTTCAATGTTCAAATTGTTTCTGTAGGTTAACGTTACAAAATACTCAGCGAGAAAAAACAAATACGAGGCGGTATAGCTGTTTTAAGACAATTGTTTAATTAATTTTCCGTGTATTTTTGACGTCTAAAGCTCAATACAGAGTGATTTCTGGCGTTAAATACTAATCGTGTTACGTGACTTTTGTAGCACTTGTAAGATGGTGGCAAGCTAGACGTCATAATTGTGTTCGGTTCTTGAACTACTCAATGCTCTCCTTGTATTTCCTCTCACCTTATCACCGAGCATCCTGTCAAGTTTCTTTGCCCATAAGCTGGAAAAAACGCCGCTGATCAAAATCACTAGAGGGAAATAAGCGATAGATTCCTGCAAGAGATGCATCGATTTCATTAGACATGTACAAAGTGCAGTGGCTTGGCTGAAGCTGCTCGACGAACCATTTGCGGCTTACCTTCTCAAATCCGAGCGTGTCGGTCAAATACAGCGGTACATAAGATGAATTAAGGACTTGAACAAGACGAGCACACATAAAGGCGAAGGAGATCTGTGAATGAGAACAGATTACTAGTGTTGGATCTGCGCAGAGCGGTTTACAGTTGAGTGCCCCCTAAAATCACAACGGTTAATCAAACAAACGAAAATAACTTAATGTTCAACCAATCAGAATTCGAACTAAGCAACGTAACAGGCGCAAGCGCGGGAAATCAAAACGCCTCTGACCAAGTCTCAGTTGTTTTTTTGTTTTACTTTTGATTGGTTGAGCATAAGGCGCGAATTTTTTAAACCAATTAAATTCTTAAAAGAAGAAATATATTGTGCGATCTCCTGAATACCTTATAGAACATCGGAGTTTTAAACCAGTCCGTCCACGTTTTTATGGTCTTACTGTTCTTCGTTTCTTGTTCATTTACTTCCTCTATAATGACACTAACTCCACAGAAACTCGTATCAGTCCCCTTTGTAACCGAGCCTGGTGTTGTTTGATCCGCTGCACAGATTTCTTGTTTTTTGTACTCTGATTTCTCTGTCTGTGCTTTATTGTCTATGTTGGCGCAGTCAATGGAATCAACAGAATCTGTTTCTGGTGATGAGGCATATCCTTCGCTGGAACCACTGGATTCCGATCGGTTACTCTGCCGTTCTTCCATCAACTCATCACTCTGGGAATCTCCACCCGTTTGGCTTCTTTCTCGAGGAACATCACCTTCAGTGATTTGCTTGTCATCGATTAGAAACGCAGGATTTGAGAAACTGAATTCATTATCTTTCTTGGTTTGTTCTGTGTGACCTGCACGTGGCGGTCGAGTCTCCGAATCCTCGCCCAAGTTGCCGACAGCCTGTTCACAAACAATGTCTAGCGTCCCATCAGTTTGAAAAGCTGGATTTGAAAAGCTAAATTCGTTACTGTTCTGGCCTTTCTCTAGGTCAGTCACGCGTAATTCAACAGCTTTCTTTTCGGGTAGATCAACAGACCTATCTTTACCAGTTCCATTTTCAACGGCGATGTCTGCCTGTTCTACTTGTATGACTTCTGTACCCTCAGTTTTCGCAGATGCTGCAGAGAGTTCATTTTCATCGTACAAGCAGAACACTCCGACTGTTTTGTCAGGGAGAGGGAGGGTAGCTGTTTTGCTCGACTGTCTTTCTCGACCAATGAAACTGCCTGAAGGACCTGGAATAAAAGGGAAAAATGGCTTACCCCGGGAAGATATCTAAAGTGAAGGCAACTTTAGGCGCTATCTTGAAATGCATGAAATACTTTAATTATGGATCGTACACTGAACATTCGTGCTTTAGTAAACGAAGAAAAAAAACAGACGTCTTTAACCAGATATTAGATCTGCTTATTTCGCCTGCCGGTCTCAGAACTTGCTCAAGCTAAACATGTAACGCCAACGTTCAATTCCAAAAAGGAACACTGACGGAAAAATGATTAGCCGCCTTAGTCCGCATTCTCCAAACAACGCACAACTAAGACATTTCACGTTGTTCAGTTGTTGTGCAGAGGACGGTAAAGAAATGTACAAAGATTTATAACGCACTTGCACAGCCATTGTTCTGCTCATTAACTCGTTTGTTTGGTGGCGTTTTCGTTGCCGTTGCCGTCGTGGTTTGGTTAAGCTCCCTAACAAAGCGCATAGGATATTTCAAGTATATCTATTATTAACGTATCTATTGTAGATGTCTTATTCAAGATGCATTCTACTCCAGCACTCTGAAACAACCGTTAGTAACGGCTTTGGAGTCAAAAAAAATTGCTGGGAAACAAAATGAGTGAGAGCCCGGCCCTGCACAGCGAAGAACCTCCACTACGCCTCATGCTAAAACTGATATAATTCTACTGGCATGCACTGAATTCTACCAAGAACAAATTAGATTTCGATGTCGGTTCTGCCACAAAGAGCTCACCAAGTGATCTGGCAGCTTATCATTTGGTCGAATACCTTTTCATGCAGTGATGTTATTTGGTAGTTATATTGTTGATTTCCTGTTGTCTCCTACCTTTGTTCTTTTCCTCCACAGTCCGTAGAGGTTCATGGGTTCCCACGTGAAAAATTAAGGAGAAAACACAACCTGTGCCTACTACGATCACGGCCATTTCCTGAAAACGAAACCAAAAATAATAGCGTGAGGGAATAAAAAAACACTGTCAGTCGCTCCTCCGCAGAGGTTCGGGCGTTCTCTATAGAAATGCGCTGGCTTGATGAAGTGCAGGCGAAAAAGTCACTTTACATATATTTTGCGCCAGCACTAACATCACTCAGCGGATTCTCTCCACATCAAAAGAAAACAAAATTCAGAAACCTTTGAACCTCAGCGAAGGAGTAAGTTGAGCCCGAATGTAGGACACAACCTGACCAACTTGGAGTATCATTTAGGGGAAACAAGAGACATTTTTGGCAAAACTTCGTCCCCGATCCACCTAGGACTAACATGACGGTTTAGTTCTTTACCAACATATTCAAACATAGATTCTCCGTACAGATTCAAGCATACTTCAAGCCTGTTTAGTTGGGAAGTTCATCGTGACTGAAAAAAATTACTCAACCACTGCTTAATATGCGGACGGTCGATTTTGGGAAAAAATAAACGTCTCTCAATTGTGAGGGAAGGTGAAAAAAGCCTGATTTTAAAGGAACCTACCATGAAGTCTTTCCACTGACTATAGGTTAGGTTCTCGCTGCTGCTGTCGGTTCTGAGGACAATCCATGTGATGGCATACACGAAGATGCCACTGAGAAATGTAAAACCGGATCTGAAAGAGAACCAAGTAAACTTCTTTCTCATTGAAGTAGGTATTTACATTACTCTCAAAAATTTTATTTAGTCCGTGATTTTGCAGTTTAGAAACCCTGTATTACAGTGCGAAAGTTCTTGAATTCGAACCGGGCCACTTGGAAAAAGAAATAACCAATCAGAACGTTACTTGAGAACAAAGGATAACGATCTCTTTCTCAAATAAACCAATGACATTGAAGAATACGAACAATAGATCTTTAAAAAATTGAAAACCCAACAAAGTGCGAGGAGTTGTGAACCTCTCAAAAAACTTTGCCATTTGTTGATTGGTTAGTTTCGATCCTAAATTTTGTACGTTTTTCAACGGTTTCGGTTTAGTTATCGCAAAATGAGTTTTCAAGCTAAATTTTTCGAGCGAGATTTATAATTATGATAGTTCGTCGTCAAGGACTGAATCTCTAAGAGTGAAAAGAACACAGAGGAATCGATAGTGTTTATGTTTTCTCGTCAAACACACCGTTACTTGCCGTCACGAGAAGCTACCAGTCCATTATTCTCATTATGCGTTTTGATTGGTTAGTTTCCTTCTACAAGTAGCCCGCGGCTCGAGCAGTTGAACTGTCAAAGGAATATAGCTTACACACGTAAACAGATCAGTTTTATTACATGATATACATGTTTGCCTGCAGACATATGATTTCTCTGCTTGACCGCAAGTTAAAAGCGCATCCGTTTTCAAACAGGTTTAAGTTGTTTTAACGCCTCTTCACACAGAACCCAGTTTTACTTGCTACATAGTGAGAAAGATTAACTGTACACTATTGAACATGTGCCAAAAACCACAAACAGCCAATTAAGTCATAGATATCGATGATACAGCAGGATGTGAACCGACCAGCCTGGAGGACATTCTTCTTAATATAGCTCGCAATTCGAATTTCCGTCAAAACACATGACAAAAACTTGCAATTTGATCAGTTTTTTCCGTTTCTAAAGGGCTCAGGATGATAACCGAGGCCATAACTTTGTATGAAGTCCTTCTCCAGCCGAAATTCGACTATCCCAGTCTGCCCCTTATATCAAATTTTTCACGTTTTCTGTCATAATTTTCGGCTGGTTTATTAAGTTCTGCTTATGAAACGTTTGTCCGCTTGGATAACACTATGCGATGTTAACACGATTTGGTGACGCACTATTTTCTTTCCTTTAATTTCGTATCATCAATATTTATATTCTTTTCAGATAAGATATACCGGGTGGACGTCCTTGACATTCCATTAAAAAAACCACGAGGCTTAAAAAAACAATTTCCCATAAATCTCTTTTCTGTATCCTGTGGCGAGTCCCAAAAACCCAAAGTTGAACTTCATCGTAAAATCAAGTTGTAAGCCTTTTTGACCTGCGTTTTGGCCGGGGGTTTTCAACCGACAGAAAAATTCCAGTGTTTTTGGAGCTTGCAGATAGAGACTACATTTCACGCTACGAAAAATGTATCGATTTCTTTTATGTATCGCAGCTGAGATCACCTATTTTGGGAATATTTTAAATATTTTCACATTTGGGGGTCGGCCGGTAGCCGGTTGATTGTACCCCTAAAGACACGAATCATTCACGTGCCAGCGCACGTGAGGTTTGACAACGTTCACATTGTTCAAACTTGCTTCCATCAAGATTTTTAAGTGCGCGCCACTAAATCTCAACTTGACTCCAAAACAGTAACTCAATACATTGGTCACAATGGCGGAAATGTCCCGGTAAGTTACGTAAGAAGACTACCCACTGAAGTTCAATGCTCTGTACTTGTTTTTGAGGAATTTTTAAAGTCCTCGCAATTGATCAGCGCAGAATTCATAAGTTGTTAAAAACGAACACCAATTTCTCTTGTTCCGTGAAATGTCGAGAAGCCAAAGTGCAATTCTTATTTCAACTTTATTTTAGATTTTATTGTCGTCGAAGTCTACGGAACGATCTCCCGGCCTGGCAGAATTTGAGGTGGCTGAGCGGTTATTTTGGAAAATTTAATCAAATTTTTTTGGAGCGAGGTAGGGGGATGGACGGAGTTTTTTTTCTAAGACGGTATTTTAGCGCTCACTAGCGACGATCCTTTGCTATTCTAAGAAAGAGCCGATTGCGCGGTAAAATCGACTAAAGGTTAAAGCAAATAAAATTCTGACTCACCGTAGCGCGTGAAGTTCCACCATTTCATTGGGTCGCTTTGCGATCTCGGGTATTAGCGCCAAATGGGTGACCTGTGATAACGCCCAGCCAATATTGTGCACAATCATGATAGTGCCGTAATAAATCCCCATTATCCACTCGGGAGAGTCTTGCCCGCAGACGAAGCAAGGCATCATGAGAAGCGGGAAAAATCCCGCAACGAGAACAGTCCCGAGCAAGTGAAAACTCTTGCGTTTGCCGTAGCACCTTGCAAGGAGTGGGAACTTGTAATTATCGCAGATGTAACCAACGACAATGCATAGGACAGAATCCACAGTGTTCGCGACGATCCAGAGAAAACCGGCTGTCCTGTGTGAGAGGCCAAGAACTTTCGTCTGGAAAATCAGCATATAGGAAATCCACGCTCCGAGGACGGTGTCATTCAAAACATGCCCAACGCTGAAAGCAATCCTTTGAAAAATTGGAAGACGAGGCTTTGAGCGAGATGGTCTTCTTTGCTTTCTTTGGTCTGCTAAAAAACTAGAACCCGAACGATTGTGACTCATTTTGACGTGTCCTTAACCGGCAAACGGTTTTTTCTAAGCAAAAATAGTATTTCAAGAACGCCAAACCTTAAGGAGACTAAAATTTACGATAAAAAGTTTTTTTTTTTCGTCGAGGCCACAACCAAGGCATTGAAGAGAGATCACCGTCTTATGGCTAAAACGTTTGGTGTTGAAATGCTTGCAAGCAAAATTTGTCAGAAATAATAATAAGCAAGTCTGCTTTTCTAATACCGGTTCAAGTATTTTCTTTCAAACAGGTAAGAAACAAGTAATTCAGCAAAGAATGTTTTATTTATTCAGTGTGTGGTGAGCTATTTCTAGCTAAACCGGGAGGCTGGTTACATTCAATGAATTTTATGAATTTCAGTTCCATAAATTATAGTTAACTACTGCATACGCTTAAATTTAATACTCTGAGCGGATTTTTTTCTTTTTCTTTTTTCTCCTCGTTCCCCCCAGCAATTGATTGAAACAAAACTTTGAACCCTCGGTTAACTCCAGCTGAGAGTTGGGTAACTCGAAACCCGTAAGGTACTCGAGAGAATTCTTTCCCAGTAAGACGAAATTACCTGAAATTGATAGTTATGATTATAAAACAAAAACAGCACAACCTTAGCACAAAGTATTCTCTCAAGAGGAAAAAACTACCAGACTTACAACCTTTGGCCATCGAAATTCAGTTCCATGATTCTGGCCAATTCGAAAAAAATTCAAAACATTCAGAATTCAAATTGTTGTGGAACCCATTGTACAGACACCGGTTTTATCCGGACATCCGTTATTAAGACAATGTTGTTTCTACCGACGAAAAGTTAATAAATATTCTCTAACGACTTACGTCGACCTCCTTATAAAACGGACGCCGGTTGATACAGACAATGGACACCTTTCCGTGATCCGCGTGACGTGCTCTGATGGCCATCACTGGTGAGCCTCGCATACTACCTCTAGTTCTTGCGCACCGGCATATATTTCACCGAAATTATGTACTGATCCTACATTCAGAAAGGAAGTTATCTACAGGTTAATAAGTTTCAGTGGTGTAATACAGATAAACAAGACATGTTTGACAAAATGTTTTTTCTGGCGTTTGACCCTTCTACGGTCTTCTAGCGATTGCCGCTTTGTCGTATTCCAAAATGAAAAAAATTACCTATCCATTTGAGGTTTTAGTTTCATCAGATATAAGACCCTTTGTTGAAAAACTTGACTTTTGCAAAGTTGTAACTCGACGGTGTTCTTCGTTTTGTAACTGACGTGTATATATGAGTACGCTCTTACGTTGCGTGACTTTTCATGGACTAAACTGGCAGCACGTGAAGGGTGTCGCGTGAGTAAAAAGATAACTTATCTATTAAGTTTTTACTCGCTGAACAGTCCTTACATTGGACGAGGCGTTGATTTCAATAGCTGTAAGGTTTAGTCTGTACATCTATAAAACATATGTCCGTTAAGTGTATTCTCATGGTATCTATGGTCTTTACTGCGGACACCCGTAGATCATATGGACATCGACATTTTATTGTTTTCACATTAACCGAGTTCCATTGAACACATTAAATGCTGCCGGTTACGTAATGGAGTATTACGTAAGAGCATGCAGAAAAAATTGAGTGTAATACAGTGAAGTCAAAACAAACGGCGGGATCTGAAAATCCGTCACATTCTATCATTATTATGTCACGTAAAGGGTCGGTCACGCTATGAGACGAGGGTTCGAAGGGATCTGTTTGTAGACTGGTATAAAGTGTGTTTTGTACTAAGATCCAAAAATGTTTAGCTCTGGGTAAAATCGATAAAAATTCCCACCTTCCCAGAACTGATCATTGAGCAAGATTTTTAACAGATACTGTAAAAATTAAATGACATGATTTTTTTCTCACTTTCGACTGGTCAAGTCCCATATGGTCTAGCGGTTAGGATTCCTGGTTTTCACCCAGGCGGCCCGGGTTCGACTCCCGGTATGGGAATGATAACCATTTTTTTTTTCTTTTTTCCCGTCTTGTCAGGAAATTTTTTCTCATTTCAATTTGGATTTTGAAAACCACGATGCAGTTTACGACTGTAACATTTTGATTTTGCTAGGTGCCCTCAAACGCGACGTAACATCAAAAATGGCAACAAATATCACAAACGGGAAACGGAAAGTGAAAAGTGGAACGGGAAAATGGGAAGAAAGAACCCAGAAAACAGAAACAGGTAATTCTTGTATTGGCGTTATTCCGGCATTTTCAATGCTGCGTTTACTGTGGTTAAGCCCAGGACTTTAATTTGTGGGTGGGTTTCAAAAGAGTTCAGAATTCGATCATCAGCCGAGGAATCATAGTCTTTGGCATACACTAACATGCCATCAAGTCTTTGCTTTTCGCATTGCATGAAATTTCGAATGAAATAATCACCGGTCACTTTGGACTTGTGTTGGAGGAAAATTCTGTCAGGGAAATCACACATGATTATCGTGACACCATAGTTCTCGAAAAGCCCTGTTTTCGCGACGGATTAGTGTAGACGGTAGGCCTAACCGTAGTGATAGAGCTGCGTTTTCAAATTTCTCCGGCATAGTGCGGACGCTAGCTTACATGGTGTAATAGCCTTTATGCGTGACGACATCAGATGAGCACATTTTACCGCCAAGCTTCGCTTTGAAAATGCAAATTGTGATTTTATTGTGGACAAATTCCCAATGTAGCAAAGGTAAAAAGAATTCCCTCTTGAAAACAACACGAAGGTGTCAGAGGTTTGAGAACTTTTCGCGCAAGCGAGGTTTGGTGGTGAATTTTGTGCGTTTGGCGCAATCATGCATAAGCGCTATTGTTATAACTATTCGTTTCACTCTCTGGCTTTGGAGAATATTAATTTAAGTGAATATTTAATCTCAACAACAACAACAACTTTATTATGACTCGCATATTTACAATTTTACAGAAATATGTACACATTAAGTTAAAAAAAGCTTGACAATAGCAACTGGGCTAATCTAGGCGGGCCGCATCTATATTTATATTATTTATATAATCTCGAAAGTAAAATACCTGAAACCGGAAAATAAAAGCTCGCAACTCCGAAATGAATGCAATCCCCTGAGACTAACAAAGGAAGCGATGAACAGTCTGTAGCTCATTTTGGCTTATTGCAGTCAGCCATCATCCGTCCCATGAGAAAGCAGTTGCTGAGTACGGAAATTTGACTGAGGTTTGAATGCTTCGTGGTGGAGTTTTGGATACTCTATTTTTGACATTTGGCTTGGTTTTTCCTATTCAGTTTCCGTGCTCTGTTTTCGAGTTTCGAAAGCTTCGTGCTTAGATCCTCCTGTTGTTGGAGGTGAGTGCTTCGGTCGGTTTCTCAGTGCTAAGTATTGTCTACTCCCCGGGGGAGGGGGCACTCTGTAAATCTTTAGGTGGGAGTGTGCCACTGTGACAATGAAACCCTTATCTGAGACTAGACCGTGATCAGCTTGATTTTTGCAACCCTTTTCTAGACTAATCGCCAAAAACCCCTACCCTATCCCAGACTAGCTATTTTATTGAACCTCGGAAGAAGAACCCTGTTCTTGACTAAATTATTAACAGTAAACTATACCCTATTCTAGACCAAAACTGTCTGATTTCTATACCCCCCACCCCGACTAACTGAATGAAAACCATACCCTTCACAGCGGCGCATACCCAGTAGCCGATATAAGGGAATACCTCCCCCGGCGTTTATTCTCACTACTTTGATAAGAAGCAACAAAAGAACAGCAGAACACGCTCACTGGAATACCACACCACACATTACAGGTAAATAACGCTGCTTACGGTCATTAATATCATGAACTTTTATTGGCGCAATCAAACTCGCTCGTTACGTGTAATAGTAGACGGNAAAGTTGAACTTCATCGTAAAATCAAGTTGTAAGCCTTTTTGACCTGCGTTTTGGCCGGGGGTTTTCAACCGACAGAAAAATTCCAGTGTTTTTGGAGCTTGCAGATAGAGACTACATTTCACGCTACGAAAAATGTATCGATTTCTTTTATGTATCGCAGCTGAGATCACCTATTTTGGGAATATTTTAAATATTTTCACATTTGGGGGTCGGCCGGTAGCCGGTTGATTGTACCCCTAAAGACACGAATCATTCACGTGCCAGCGCACGTGAGGTTTGACAACGTTCACATTGTTCAAACTTGCTTCCATCAAGATTTTTAAGTGCGCGCCACTAAATCTCAACTTGACTCCAAAACAGTAACTCAATACATTGGTCACAATGGCGGAAATGTCCCGGTAAGTTACGTAAGAAGACTACCCACTGAAGTTCAATGCTCTGTACTTGTTTTTGAGGAATTTTTAAAGTCCTCGCAATTGATCAGCGCAGAATTCATAAGTTGTTAAAAACGAACACCAATTTCTCTTGTTCCGTGAAATGTCGAGAAGCCAAAGTGCAATTCTTATTTCAACTTTATTTTAGATTTTATTGTCGTCGAAGTCTACGGAACGATCTCCCGGCCTGGCAGAATTTGAGGTGGCTGAGCGGTTATTTTGGAAAATTTAATCAAATTTTTTTGGAGCGAGGTAGGGGGATGGACGGAGTTTTTTTTCTAAGACGGTATTTTAGCGCTCACTAGCGGCGATCCTTTGCTATTCTAAGAAAGAGCCGATTGCGCGGTAAAATCGACCAAAGGTTAAAGCAAATAAAATTCTGACTCACCGTAGCGCGTGAAGTTCCACCATTTCATTGGGTCGCTTTGCGATCTCGGGTATTAGCGCCAAATGGGTGACCTGTGATAACGCCCAGCCAATATTGTGCACAATCATGATAGTGCCGTAATAAATCCCCATTATCCACTCGGGAGAGTCTTGCCCGCAGACGAAGCAAGGCATCATGAGAAGCGGGAAAAATCCCGCAACGAGAACAGTCCCGAGCAAGTGAAAACTCTTGCGTTTGCCGTAGCACCTTGCAAGGAGTGGGAACTTGTAATTATCGCAGATGTAACCAACGACAATGCATAGGACAGAATCCACAGTGTTCGCGACGACCCAGAGAAAACCGGCTGTCCTGTGTGAGAGGCCAAGAACTTTCGTCTGGAAAATCAGCATATAGGAAATCCATGCTCCGAGGACGGTGTCATTCAAAACATGCCCAACGCTGAAAGCAATCCTTTGAAAAATTGGAAGACGAGGCTTTGAGCGAGATGGTCTTCTTTGCTTTCTTTGGTCTGCTAAAAAACTAGAACCCGAACGATTGTGACTCATTTTGACGTGTCCTTAACCGGCAAACGGTTTTTTCTAAGCAAAAATAGTATTTCAAGAACGCCAAACCTTAAGGAGACTAAAATTTACGATAAAAAGTTTTTTTTTTTCGTCGAGGCCACAACCAAGGCATTGAAGAGAGATCACCGTCTTATGGCTAAAACGTTTGGTGTTGAAATGCTTGCAAGCAAAATTTGTCAGAAATAATAATAAGCAAGTCTGCTTTTCTAATACCGGTTCAAGTATTTTCTTTCAAACAGGTAAGAAACAAGTAATTCAGCAAAGAATGTTTTATTTATTCAGTGTGTGGTGAGCTATTTCTAGCTAAACCGGGAGGCTGGTTACATTCAATGAATTTTATGAATTTCAGTTCCATAAATTATAGTTAACTACTGCATACGCTTAAATTTAATACTCTGAGCGGATTTTTTTCTTTTTCTTTTTTCTCCTCGTTCCCCCCAGCAATTGATTGAAACAAAACTTTGAACCCTCGGTTAACTCCAGCTGAGAGTTGGGTAACTCGAAACCCGTAAGGTACTCGAGAGAATTCTTTCCCAGTAAGACGAAATTACCTGAAATTGATAGTTATGATTATAAAACAAAAACAGCACAACCTTAGCACAAAGTATTCTCTCAAGAGGAAAAAACTACCAGACTTACAACCTTTGGCCATCGAAATTCAGTTCCATGATTCTGGCCAATTCGAAAAAAATTCAAAACATTCAGAATTCAAATTGTTGTGGAACCCATTGTACAGACACCGGTTTTATCCGGACATCCGTTATTAAGACAATGTTGTTTCTACCGACGAAAAGTTAATAAATATTCTCTAACGACTTACGTCGACCTCCTTATAAAACGGACGCCGGTTGATACAGACAATGGACACCTTTCCGTGATCCGCGTGACGTGCTCTGATGGCCATCACTGGTGAGCCTCGCATACTACCTCTAGTTCTTGCGCACCGGCATATATTTCACCGAAATTATGTACTGATCCTACATTCAGAAAGGAAGTTATCTACAGGTTAATAAGTTTCAGTGGTGTAATACAGATAAACAAGACATGTTTGACAAAATGTTTTTTCTGGCGTTTGACCCTTCTACGGTCTTCTAGCGATTGCCGCTTTGTCGTATTCCAAAATGAAAAAAATTACCTATCCATTTGAGGTTTTAGTTTCATCAGATATAAGACCCTTTGTTGAAAAACTTGACTTTTGCAAAGTTGTAACTCGACGGTGTTCTTCGTTTTGTAACTGACGTGTATATATGAGTACGCTCTTACGTTGCGTGACTTTTCATGGACTAAACTGGCAGCACGTGAAGGGTGTCGCGTGAGTAAAAAGATAACTTATCTATTAAGTTTTTACTCGCTGAACAGTCCTTACATTGGACGAGGCGTTGATTTCAATAGCTGTAAGGTTTAGTCTGTACATCTATAAAACATATGTCCGTTAAGTGTATTCTCATGGTATCTATGGTCTTTACTGCGGACACCCGTAGATCATATGGACATCGACATTTTATTGTTTTCACATTAACCGAGTTCCATTGAACACATTAAATGCTGCCGGTTACGTAATGGAGTATTACGTAAGAGCATGCAGAAAAAATTGAGTGTAATACAGTGAAGTCAAAACAAACGGCGGGATCTGAAAATCCGTCACATTCTATCATTATTATGTCACGTAAAGGGTCGGTCACGCTATGAGACGAGGGTTCGAAGGGATCTGTTTGTAGACTGGTATAAAGTGTGTTTTGTACTAAGATCCAAAAATGTTTAGCTCTGGGTAAAATCGATAAAAATTCCCACCTTCCCAGAACTGATCATTGAGCAAGATTTTTAACAGATACTGTAAAAATTAAATGACATGATTTTTTTCTCACTTTCGACTGGTCAAGTCCCATATGGTCTAGCGGTTAGGATTCCTGGTTTTCACCCAGGCGGCCCGGGTTCGACTCCCGGTATGGGAATGATAACCATTTTTTTTTTCTTTTTTCCCGTCTTGTCAGGAAATTTTTTCTCATTTCAATTTGGATTTTGAAAACCACGATGCAGTTTACGACTGTAACATTTTGATTTTGCTAGGTGCCCTCAAACGCGACGTAACATCAAAAATGGCAACAAATATCACAAACGGGAAACGGAAAGTGAAAAGTGGAACGGGAAAATGGGAAGAAAGAACCCAGAAAACAGAAACAGGTAATTCTTGTATTGGCGTTATTCCGGCATTTTCAATGCTGCGTTTACTGTGGTTAAGCCCAGGACTTTAATTTGTGGGTGGGTTTCAAAAGAGTTCAGAATTCGATCATCAGCCGAGGAATCATAGTCTTTGGCATACACTAACATGCCATCAAGTCTTTGCTTTTCGCATTGCATGAAATTTCGAATGAAATAATCACCGGTCACTTTGGACTTGTGTTGGAGGAAAATTCTGTCAGGGAAATCACACATGATTATCGTGACACCATAGTTCTCGAAAAGCCCTGTTTTCGCGACGGATTAGTGTAGACGGTAGGCCTAACCGTAGTGATAGAGCTGCGTTTTCAAATTTCTCCGGCATAGTGCGGACGCTAGCTTACATGGTGTAATAGCCTTTATGCGTGACGACATCAGATGAGCACATTTTACCGCCAAGCTTCGCTTTGAAAATGCAAATTGTGATTTTATTGTGGACAAATTCCCAATGTAGCAAAGGTAAAAAGAATTCCCTCTTGAAAACAACACGAAGGTGACAGAGGTTTGAGAACTTTTCGCGCAAGCGAGGTTTGGTGGTGAATTTTGTGCGTTTGGCGCAATCATGCATAAGCGCTATTGTTATAACTATTCGTTTCACTCTCTGGCTTTGGAGAATATTAATTTAAGTGAATATTTAATCTCAACAACAACAACAACTTTATTATGACTCGCATATTTACAATTTTACAGAAATATGTACACATTAAGTTAAAAAAAGCTTGACAATAGCAACTGGGCTAATCTAGGCGGGCCGCATCTATATTTATATTATTTATATAATCTCGAAAGTAAAATACCTGAAACCGGAAAATAAAAGCTCGCAACTCCGAAATGAATGCAATCCCCTGAGACTAACAAAGGAAGCGATGAACAGTCTGTAGCTCATTTTGGCTTATTGCAGTCAGCCATCATCCGTCCCATGAGAAAGCAGTTGCTGAGTACGGAAATTTGACTGAGGTTTGAATGCTTCGTGGTGGAGTTTTGGATACTCTATTTTTGACATTTGGCTTGGTTTTTCCTATTCAGTTTCCGTGCTCTGTTTTCGAGTTTCGAAAGCTTCGTGCTTAGATCCTCCTGTTGTTGGAGGTGAGTGCTTCGGTCGGTTTCTCAGTGCTAAGTATTGTCTACTCCCCGGGGGAGGGGGCACTCTGTAAATCTTTAGGTGGGAGTGTGCCACTGTGACAATGAAACCCTTATCTGAGACTAGACCGTGATCAGCTTGATTTTTGCAACCCTTTTCTAGACTAATCGCCAAAAACCCCTACCCTATCCCAGACTAGCTATTTTATTGAACCTCGGAAGAAGAACCCTGTTCTTGACTAAATTATTAACAGTAAACTATACCCTATTCTAGACCAAAACTGTCTGATTTCTATACCCCCCACCCCGACTAACTGAATGAAAACCATACCCTTCACAGCGGCGCATAC